TGTTAAACTTAATGTGACTCCTCTAGGCAAAATCTGTGAATTTTCCCCAGATTCTACTAACTTGAATTTTTGTCATTCATTGTGTCAGGCACTCCTCTTAATATCATCCAGAAATTTGTCAAGTTTGCATTCTGTGTCATCACTTAGTGAAGGGACACCAGTCCTGATCCCATATGTCTGCATGGAAGTGGTTAAGAGTGGTTGAGCATGATTTGCCATTGCTAAATCTGTATGTGTTGCTCCTGATTGTCTTGTCTTTCATGTATTTGGAAATTAATTCCAATTGAATGCTATTTGCAAACTTTCCAGTGTAAAAAGTGAGGTTACCTGTTTCAGAGTTCCCTTATCTCCCTTCCTTCTTAAGATGAATATAATATTTGCCTTTTTCCAGTTTTGAGGACCTTTCTAGATTACCATACTTTTTAATAGATGATAGTAACCTTGAGCTTACTCTAGCCAGCCCCTTCAACACCTTCAGGTCAATTTGATCTGGTATCCTGTATTTCAGTCCTTCTTTAAATTGTCCCAGGATTCTTGGTCTCCTATATGCCTGCTGCCAAAACAAGACTGATACATGCAGAAGTTAAAAAGTTTGCTTTGTCTGCAAAGACTGAGGTGAAAATGTCATTAAATAAATCAACTTTTTCCATAAAATCTGTCAGTCAATTGGCTCTCCCATTCAACAGCATATATGTTTTTTGATTGTCTTTCTGTTATTAGCTTACTTGTAAGAATTCTTCTTGTTACCTTTTATGTCGCTAACTAGCTTTAGCTCTAATCGGGTTTTGGTCTTTATGATTTTTATCCTTAACAGCATGAGCAATACTTTCATATTCTCCCTTTGTTTCCTGTCCTACTTTTCCCTTCCTGTATGATTTCTAGCGTTTAAGTTCTCTTCCTGGTGATAAATTGTCTTTTGGTTAAATTCCCTGGTCTGCCTGCATAAAGGGGTACTTTTATTCTGAGATCTAATTTTTCTTTAAAAGTCAGCTAGGTATTCTGGGTGCCCCCTGTAGGAGACTCCAAGGAGATTACTCCAACAATATTGTAAATAGATCAAAATCTGCTGGTTTGAAGTCTGAAGTCCAAGTCCACAGCTTATCTTCACTGCCTGTCTCCAGATCTTGATCACAGTCTTTTCCTGGTCACTGCAACCCACACTGGCATCAGTGGTCCCACTCACAATTTTTTCTACCTTTTTGAGCACCTGGTCAAATAGAGTATTCCCCTGGTTGGACCCTTTAGAGTTTGCATGAGGCATTTGTAAGCAGTGCCCTCTAGACACTTCCACAATGATAAAGAATTGTATTACCTGTTCTGCAGGTGTCCATGTGGTCAAAATCCCTCATATGGATCAACAGCTCTTATCAGGGGATTCTGCTTAACTGTCTGTAGACAGCCTCAGAGATGTCATCAAGTCAGGCAGAGATCTCTATCACAATATCATCCATGTTGCATGCTCTTTGACCTAGACCTGGAGACCCTTCACAGGCACCTCCTTGGTTTCACACCAGATTTCTCCTCAGCCAGGGATTTCCTTCACATAACACATACCTCTGCTTTGTCTTTGCTGTCTACCTTCCCCCAGCAGTCTTGTGGAAAGGTCTTGTGAAGACAATCAATTCACTCTACTGGAAGCATTAGTGCTGTGGAACTGAAGAAGACAAGAAGTAAATGCCATATGTCTTACAGTCTTCAGCTTTAGAGGTTTTGATGCATACAGTAATCTGACAGAAAAGATTTATGCATGGCTGGTCAAGCACAGAGGCAGGAGACTAACCTAGATAACCTTTCTAAAAATGCGAGAGAGGTTGTCAAATGGAATATGAAGTTGAGAATTTGAATATTACTACCTTAGTAATCAACCTGGAGCAATCAATGTGGCAAAAGAAGGTGGGTGAGTTCCCAAGGGTAAATGTGAAAGTTACACTTTAGATGTACTAGTCACTATTTCAGAGAGCTGTGTCCTGCTCATTGTGACGCATATTGATCAAAGAGGTTACCTGACACAGCCAGATTAAATACTTGGTTGCCAGAGTTTTCAAATATAAAAATTATGATCAAAAGACTGTAGAAAGGCCCAAAAGAGTGTGAAATTTGCCTGTTATGCTGACTGAAGCTTTGATACCAAAATAGTCTCTCATGCAGGCAAACATAGAAATTCTTTGAATACATTATTTGAATTTGCTTTTATTTTAATAATTTTTGCTTAACCCATATGCATATGAGAATGCATGATTATCTGTGTGGACAAAATCAACATGAAGGGCAGAAAAAAGTTAAATTGCTTGGGGCTTGATTTCCACTTAATTTGGATATGTAACAGGGTGAAAATATGTATGTCCTGCCACAGGTATAAAGATGATTTATTCTTATTTTAATTCTACTTTCTCTTGACAGCATAATGCTAAAGGATTTACTTAAATTAAAATAAGACCTTCTCTCCTTGACACTATTGTTTTATCCTAATCAACAGCAAATTGAGTCACTAATGTGTATTTGGCTACTTGAAGGATAGATCTTGAATTAAAAAAGAACCAGGATAATTTTTTCCTGGGAGAATCTTGGTAAGATGTGAGTGGAAAAAGAGCTGAGAAAAAATTATGTTTCTTTTTCATTGTTTGAGATCCATTATGTGACAATTAGAGTTATCTTCTGGATATACATCTTTCCACTGGCATGCAGCATGAGCAGATGGGAAGCTGATTTAGATTAGACACTTTAAATTAAATAAAGCTACTTAAGATGAATCCTTCTTTGTTCAAGATCACTGAGATAAATTTTGACCAATGATTCATGGTCATGTTTAAAAGAATTTAGTAATTTAGGGCTAGATTCGTGGAGCATAAACATTAAGAGTAACAGATATGCTGCTTTTTGCCAAGACTTTTCTAAGAAAACTCCCAATTTTTTTGGTCTGCTATAATCAGAAACCATGCTGATACTAGAAAGGAAAAGTTTACTTTCCTCAGATAAATAGAAGATAACAACTTCCTAGCTTTTCATATTCATTAGATTCAAACAAATATTACTAGATTATCATCTGTACTTGCCTGCATTAATATTTAATAAGTCTTCTTTTTAAAACATACCCTAGAAACTAGTATATTTTTCTTTTGGAGGGGATAATATTGATAAAGCAGAGGCATATATTTACTCAGAATATGTAATTTAAATGTGAACATTTCTAAGAAAAAATGCGCCTTCAAAATCTTTTCAGACTCCCATTAGTGTGAGATGGGCATTGGTATAATCCTTGGGGGATGATATTTTAGTTGTGATTGCAACAGAAAATGCAATTTAATGACGTCTCTAAGGACAGAAAGATTAGGGCTGCAGGCAAACAAATATAAAGAACATAGGGATTTTCAAATGCATGAACTGCAGTGGTAATACATTCTGTTCTTCTACCCTCTGGACTCTTGTCTCTGATAAAAGCATACTTATTACACAGATATAGAAGGATAAAGACTATAGACATCACCTGCTGTTTCTCCTGCTGTGTTTTCATGTTCTACTTTGTCTTCATAGAAACAGTCAGTTTACCGGGGTATGTCTTGTGGGTTTTACTATTATTATCAGTTTTGAAATTTTACATGTTAGGAATTTAAATATTATGATTTCTTTTAAACTATTATTTATTCTGATGTCTGAAATCCCTGTTAATTTGATGGTACAAATATTTCCATAGTTTTTGATTTTTGCTGAAATCTGAAGAACACTTACAACAGCTAATGTGAGTGGCCAGCTTTAACTGTTTAAATGCTTGTCTGTTATTTTTGGTTTGGTATTAATCAAATCTCAGGTTATTTTTTTTGCATTTATCCATTTTTTAATACACTTTTCCCTTTTCAAACCAAAATAAGCTTTGTTTGCTCAACTAATATAGCATAAGGCAGGTTTTTGTTACACTGGTATAAATCTTTTTATATAGATACATAGATATGAACATATTTTGTGTTGAAATCAAAGTTGCACAAAAATACCATTCTAATGTTTGAAATTCTTAGATATTGTATTACTTAACACCACAGAGATTGAGTACACTGAGCTTGCATGTTTAGATGCTTTTTTTTAGTTTTGGATGAAGCAGTTTTGACATTTATCTTCTTTGTCATTGTACCAAGGGCAATTCATTTTGTTTAATATCTTGCTGAAGAGTGGAATGACAGCAAGTATTGGAATCAAGTATTAGACATGATCATACTGTAGTAAAGAGTATTCCTGAGGCAATATTAATGAATGAATAATATTGTTGAGTACAAAAATTTAGATAACTTTCCTTTAGAATATAGATGACAAATTTTTGTCTATTTCCAATATCCAATCTAGAAATGATGCTAAGGGTTTTTCTTGAGTGTTCATGAGACTGCAGTTCCAGAAATAAATACTTCTCAGAGAGTGCTTATATAAGTCATGATCATCTGAAGGCAGAATATGTTTACTGACAGTTAGAATTGAACATGTCAGTCTAACTGTGAAATGCTGAATCTATGGATATTTACTCCTTGGAATAATAGTTATTTGTTTGATTAGGCTGGTTTTTGGATAAATATGGTTAATGAGCTAATAATATAAGCAAACCACTCAGAAGGAAGCTGTCTTCAGTACTGCTAAAGCACTGCTGGAATACTGTAAATGGCAAATGAAGTAATATAAAGATTTATTTTTTGAATACAAAAAACTTTACTTTCACTGTAAATGGCAGCATGCTCGTTTCATGTAAGTACATTGCCATTCTTTAAAGCATGCACAGGGACTAACAATTTATTTACTTGACTGGCCTTTACTTAACTCTATTTTTTTCCCTCAACTGAGTGTTTTGTTGTTATGTTACTTTGAAGCCTGTGCTGTTATGTACTAGTGAATAGCTATGGTAACAAAGACCTCGTTTTACTGAATGCTGTAGGATCCCACAGAAAGAAGTGTATGCTGAACTGGATTAGAATTCCTTAGAAGATCATCTCTCCCCACCTACCCCACCACTCACCTCCATATTTTCAGAGTCCTAGTTTGTTAACTGTGTCCAAAAGTCTCATCTGAGCCTTCAAAGAGCCCAGAAGTATAATGGCAATTCAGTCTCAAAGTACTAGCACTGTTTCTTAGGTCCTTCATTAAAACTGTCATTGTGTCTTCCCAAAAGAAAAGTTCTATTGGAGCTTCTGAGAAGTAACTGCAAAACATGTCATTTAAGTCCACAGTAAGTGTAGTGGTATTTGTCTGACTTTTTGTAAAGATTGATCCATTGAAGTACATGCTTTATACAGTAGGTATCACTACAGACATGTTGCTACTACTCAGTTCATCTCCTGCAGAGGCAATATGGATGATTCTGACCACATATTCACAGAATGTTCTTATGAGAAAAAAGAGTAATGAAAGAAATAAAAAGAAAGAAAGAAAGGAAAGGAAAGAAAGAAAGGAAGGAAGGAAGGAAGAAAGAAAGAAAGAGAAAGAAAAAAGAAAGAAAAAGAAAGAAAGAAAGAAAGAAAGAAAGAAAGAAAGAAAGAAAGAAA